AAGTTCTGAATTTTAAATAGTATACTTCTATCATAAGCAAACTCCGCAGATAGATTGAAAAGAAAGTCAGATAATATATGTAAGCTTTCTAAAGCAGACTTAACATTTATGATAGAATGAATAATTAGTTCTTCAATTTCATCTTTCTCTTCTAAGAGAGAATGATTTACTATAGATACTATCTCATTATCATTTATATTTCTCCCTTTTATTTCTTTATCAATATTCATATATTACTCTGCTAATATCAAGTTTTTCCAGCCTAGATAATTAATAAAAGATTGTAGATTATTTATTTCTAACTCTATAATATTGTTAATATTCAATTTATTAGCAGTTAATATCTTATTATCAGATAATTTTTCTCCAATAATTGTTAATGATAGTTTTTATAATAATACTTTACATCTTGATATAATAAGTTATAATATTAAGAATATTAATAGAAATAATATTTGACTTAAGTTCACAAGAAAGATTATATGAATTGACAATATATTATACAAGTAATCAATAATAGTATATCTATATAGAGTAAAAGTTTTAGCTTAATTCAAGTGATAAATCAATAGCTTTCATACTTGTCTTAAAGAATTTAATAATACTAGCATTATATAATTATAAATGAGATATAGTATTAGAGAGAAGAGAGTGAATAGTAATATTAGTTAATTAACTAAACTCCAGGATTGTGTATATCAGCATATTGTCTATAAGTAAAAGAATATAACATTATTAATATTGTATTTGAAGATTTAGTTTTCTAAGATAGTCTTTTCATATAGAGACTTGTATTCATATCATCTTATTCTAATAATATTCAATAGATAACTTATTCTTATTGATTTTCTTAAGGGATTGCAGAGTTTGATAATGATGTATGAGCAAAGATTTAAGTTTCTCAGTATCTAATGCATTGTAATAAAGAAGAATAATTATACAATTTTTTGATTTCTTAATGCTGATGATAGGATTTAATGTCAGTATCCTTGATGATTTTAACTATTAGTATAATGCTATAATATATATAATAAGCACTTTAAATAAAGAAATAAAAAATATAGAAATATGAAAACTCAGATGCAAATCAGTTTCATCACAATTGAAAATATCACACTTATCATATGAGCAAAGTACTTCATGGAGCTTAATATACTCTTGGTCCATTATCTCTAATGGAGTACTATTCCCCTTCTCTGATTTTATGTAAGATTGAATACAGTATCTAGACTTATAATGATTGAACCATCTATTAGAAGTATCAAATTTCTCAACCCCTAAAAGGCTAGCAAAATGTGTTGCCTTTTGCTTAAGAAGATCTACAGTAACAGTAATATTATCATGAATGGCATGCATAAATCATATTGTCAACACCTCTTCAACCTCAGGATATAATGGTTTGCATTCTCTTTTTCTTATTGATGAAATTTCAACATCATTAATGGCTAATCACCTGTCTTGTTTATTCCAAATATCTGAAACAGTATTTTGTCTAATCCCATATTGATTTGCAACATCAGTTTGGTTTGGAGCAGGCTTTTGAGACAGTAAAGTACATATTTCTTTATTTTGTGCATGGATTAACATGACTCGTTATCTTTTCACTAAAGATTTACTATTTTTTTTCGCGTTAAGCTGTGATATTTTGCGGAAAGAATTGTTCAACGCCAAGGATCGATGAAATACAGAAGATCAACCAATCAGAATGCTTGACATCATTCCTAATTTGGTAAATGTTGCACAATTATCGGTAGAGCGGGGTGAGATCTAATAGTAAATGTATCAGTACAAAGGTTATAGCGGGGTTTATTATGATTTTTTATGTAAATTTTGGGAGCGGCGTTTTCCATCGTTATATGGAGGTTATCGGTTTAACGGGTATCGGTATAACGAGGTTTAACTGTATATAACCAAAAATAAAATATCCGGTTTTTTTTGTTACACACTGTATATAAGGAGTGCGATCTATGATGCCAAATAAGCTTCCCGGATAGTGCAATTTTATTTATTGAAAAATGTTGGGATCCTATACCAGAAAAAAGACCAACTTCTGAGAAACTTAAAAAAACTTTATTAATTCTATCAACGATGTAAACATAGATACAAGGAGTAATTAGAAAGCCAAAAATTAGATAAATTAATTTTGAAATGGAATTACAAGAGCATTCTTACAAATACAAACAAAACAAGAAGCCCACTCAAATGTAATTTACACCAGTCGAATCAATCCCAAGTATATATATTTATTGTTATATTCAACCAACATTTCAGATTGATTTAAATACATTAAATATTAGGTTCTACGAATGTTAGTTTGTATATTCCAAATGAAGGTAAAAATCAATATTTGACACTAATTTTTTAATTTATTAATTTCATTATTTTTTCGGTAAAGATGTAGTAGTTTTTACTAATAAATTTTCGATATAACCATATGTAATAGATTTTTTGATATAAGAGTTACTGTGTGTATATCTAAAAAATTATGCTCATACATGCACATGTACAGTATATGCTAAATTCCCACCGTTTCAAAAATTCAAAATTTTTACTTTGATTAAAGAAGCAACTGTTACATCGTCATAAATATAAAATTATTATAAAAGATAAAATAAAATTCTTTATGAAAGGTTAATCTTAAATTGCTTGTTTTATTAGTTATTCTCACTTTTTAATGTGCTATTTGAAGATAAGAATTTATTCGCGATGGCATTTGCTAATAAAAAATCATTGTTCATTTCCATTTCCATCGCCATTTTTACCTTTGCCGTTACCACTTTTACCATTTCCATTGCCATTTACTTTCCCGTTACCATTCCCATTCATACCTTTTCCATTACCATTTTGACCGTTACCACCATTCATCCCATTCATACCTTTTCCATTGCCATTTTGACCGTTACCACCATTCATCCCATTCATACCTTTTCCATTGCCATTTTGACCGTTACCACCATTCATCCCATTCATACGTTTTCCATTACCATTTTGACCGTTTCCACCATTCATCCCATTAATCATAGGCACCATTCCGATAGGCATCATCGCAATAGGTTGTTGCATTGGCATAGAACAATACCATACACACGGCGTGAAGCAACCTACTCCAAACATACGTGGCATAAAGAAACAGCGTTTAGCTAGATGGCTTGTGTGTAGTTGTTCAGTTTCTGGGTTATTTGTTGCGTTTAAAGATAACATGGGAGCAATCGGTGTCGCGAAAGATGTTGCAGAAAAGCTTATAAGGAGAGAAGCGAAGAGTACGAATATGCGAGAAAAAAACATTTGTATCTCTTGAAATTAGCGAGTTGAAATTTCAATTATATTTGTGAATTAAATTGTTGACTAATGCTTGAAGAGACCATACAGTGTTATATATAGTTTTTAGAGAATACTGAATAGTAAATTTTAAACTTCACTTTATTTGCGCGTTATAAAGATAAATATTTTATATAGTCAAAAATTATTTATTAATATTACCGGCGTATATGGTTTATCGATAATGATAATGATTTTGGCATTCATATAGTATAAATAGCATAATAAAATTTATCGTTACGTAATTGGTGCCTATTTTTATATTATATTTATGATCAATCATATTTATAGTAAGGCTCTACATACATGTATCAAGAATAATAATGTATTCATCAACTTATTTTGCTATTGATTTTTGTATATCATTATATAAGAATTTTGTTTCTAATAATAGTATATTGTAATATGTTGTTAACAAAATTTTTTTAATTATAAATTATTTTGAACATGAACCGTGTACTTATACTAAACCTTTGATGAAATATAACGTGGAACGGTCTTGTTTGATGGGAGAATAATAGTTCTGTTATTACTTTCCAACCTCGTTATTGTAAAGAAAAAGAAATTATCACACAAATTGTATTCAAATAGAATTTATTTTATATTTTATTATCGTTATGCAACAATTTTTGCGTGTGAGTTGGATCTTTTCGACGCTTTCAATGCGATAATTTATTATGATAAAATTTATCATTATTGTGGTTTTCAGCTTATTAAACCTGTTATAATTGATTCATACATATTTATATTTACAGAATAAGCTTTTGGGGTTATGTGCTTAAAAAACCTGTTATCCGAAATAACATGCAAAGGAAATTAGGAATTTAAAACGTATTAGATTAGAATGAAATATCTAAAAATTGTTTATAAAAACTGGATGGGAATTTGTACTAATGATTGTGTTTTAGACATTATTAATATATATGTATTTTTTCATAGTGAACTTCACAATTTACAGCATATAATGAGTACCTCTTAATAAATGTTTGACTTTTGATCAAAGATCTTTGTCAGATCGTAATAACTATACATACTGTATATGTGTATTAGACATGCCTGCATCTCATATTCGTTAACTTCTTTAGATTATTTCCTTTATAATCCTGTATCCATTAAGAACTATTCATTGCTAATAAGACTTTCTTAATTGAAAAGGTATTGATTTGATTCTTATGCAAAATATTCGTCAACGTAAGAGTAATATTGATGTCGGCAAATTACTACAATCATGAATATCATTAGCGATAGTGGTTATAAAAAAATATCGGCTCTTTATTCACATAAATTTGATGTATTAAAGCGAGCCTTTTATTATTTAAATATGACAGAGCCAGAGTGATTGTACGATAATATACAAAAAAAGAATTTATAATACAAATACTGTCCTTTATTTTTCGTTTTGATCGCCCAATCGAATTTCTAATTCCATGAATCCTGTTACCTTTACTCATAATCTTGTTCAAATAAATTTTGATCTTGGAGATGTCGACAATCAAAACAAAATCCAATATCGAAATTTGGTTGATTACAAGTTGTGCAAGCGCCATATGATTTTCTTTGCCTATATTCAATCTCTTTTTTATTGTATAATTAAAGCAATATCAATAAAAACCTAAAAGTCATTAATGTACTAATAAAATCAGCTGAATAAATTAGGATTACATTACCTTCAGGATCATGATCAACGATGACTACAAATAACAAGGTATTGTTATCGTATATTTCTTCAAAACATTCGATATAAATCAAAATCTGCAACACTAAAGAAGAAATATCATATGCAATTTTACCTTCGTTTGTAACATAAAAATTGAAACTTGTAGACTTAACATATGATCCATTATCAAATTCAGTAGTCAAGTATGCTAGAATTGTATGCAATCAAGTATTTTAATAAATAGATTTATGGTATTGTATTGAAACAATAAATTGGATCTGATTTTACCTTTATTAGAATCATTTGGGATATATAAAATGATACTTGTGGAACCTAAACATTCATAAATTTTAATGCGAAATTTCAAATCTCAATACGAACCAAATTTAGAATTAAAAGTACCTGTGTGAATTAGTTTTTTAGTAAATATTCGACTGATGTAAACTGCATCTCTATGAATGATTTGTTTTTCGTTTAGATTCGTATTCTCAACATCAAGTTCTTCCAATTTTTGTTTTTCCAAATTAAGACATTTTGAAATCCCTTCATTTGTTATAGAATATTCTAAGGAAGAGTAATACTGGAAATGTAAATTATTTAATTCCAACTCGGAAATATAAATGATATCTCCGATAGATTGGATAGATTGTATAAAGTCTTTAAGTTCCTTGGCTGTTGGTCTGTTTTCTGAAATCGAGTTCCAACATTTTTCAATAATAAATTTGCACCATCCGGGAACATCATTTGGTATCGTAGGTCGTGCTCCTTTATATATGTCCAATACGAGATACATGTCATGACTTCGCTCACCAAATGGCCGCATACCAGTCACGATCTCATACATAACCATCCCAAAGCTATAAATATCTGCAGCCTTGGTATATGGCTTTCCATTTAGAACCTCGGGACTAATATAAGGAAGTACTCCATATATTTCTCGATCAGCTTCTTTTACTGTTGGACCGGTAAGTCCAAAATCAGCGATAATGGGTTCACCATGTATCAATATATTCCCAGGGTGAAGGTCACAATGTGAAAATCCTTTTTCATGAATTGCATCCAGTTCAAAGGCAGTCCAGAATAAATATCTTAATTTTTTTTCCCAATTCAAATTTTCGTATGTGGAATTAATACATTTACGAAGATCCCCACCTTCCGCATAATCCATGACTATCAAATATCCATTTGTAATTGGGTTTTTAGTTATTCCATAATACTCTATTCCATTGTATTTATTATCGCAAATGCACATTAGAGCATCCTGAAACTATTTTTAAAAGACTTTGTATTAGAAAATGCATCATGTTTACACTTGAAAATTGTGCATTCACATTACCCTATTTATAAATTCTAAAGAAATATGATTCGAATCATCTAATGCTTTCAACACGACTTCGAATTCTCCTTGCCGTATAAATTTGTTTCCTTCATGATCCCACTTTTCAATCGGTCCATCCAACCAAGTGGCTTTATAAATTGTCCCAAATCCTCCTTTTGCAAGATATTTAAACTGGCTTAATCTTTCATGAGGGATCCATTCAAATAACCTGATTTTCATAAATTCTTTGATTTTATTTTCGTACAACCATTTAGCTTTATAAAGTCGAAGGTGAAAATCGACACATTCATTGCAACGATCACGTTTTTGACAATGAGTGCAAATATTACAATCATGAGTATTCGGAATTTTAGATTCCATCTTCAAAATTTACTTATAAAATATTTTTAGTGGTTATGTGTTGTATACGCAATAAAAAAAGGTACATATACTGCATTAAAAATGTGCTTGCCAGAACTGTTTTATTGTACGTATCGTTATTTGTGTTACTCGTATATGTACCGATTATGTACATGTATTGTGTGTAGAACGTTAATCGTTTCTGTGTAAACTTTTAATACATGTACATGTAATATTCAAGAAAACTTACAATTACTCGTTCTTATTCGGAGAAGATTAACCGATATCGATATCCATAAAATTAAATAATTTTAAGTTTTATTAATTAAATCATTTGTATGTAACATAATAATAACAAAATTTTTAGCCATCTACAAGTGTATTAGGAGAAAACGTTCTTGGACATGTACTTGTATAGTGTAAATATAAACCCCGCCTAATAACTCCGTTGTGCTCCGTGTTTGCTCCATTGATTATTCCGAAGTATACATGTACATTATATTAATTATATTGTTTCAAGGTTATCGCTTTTATAAGTGCAAATAACTATGGACTTAATTTATTAAGTCCAAATATCGCAGTTTATAAGTTCAAATGGCCAACTAACACTACCGCTAATAATAAAGATCATTATACATAATATCAATATTGATAAAAAATTTGGAAAGAATATGTGTGCTCAATTATATTAAAAGATGAGCAACTGTGGACATTAATAAAAAGTCAATCAAAATGCGAATGCCATCAAATTTGGAATGTATCTCCTTAATTCATAATTATCGGTATAATTTCTACAAAAGATCGCTTAGCGAGATATGGCGGTTGTTTAGATGATGGTTTTTGTGAACTTATTCTTACTTTCATATTATCACTGCTAGTTTAAAATTTTATTATCAATGTCATTTTGTTGTTCTTTTGATTCAAATAAATAACTCGTTATCAAATGACAATGTTAAAAAATTAACGACGCCATTATTGATAGAATAAATTATTATTAGCGTATATCATGATATGTACACATCTCATAATTGGTGATGTGATGGCATAAACCTTAGGAAAATTGTTATGAAATATTGAATGATGATAGCATTATTCTCGTTAAATTTCAAAAATATAACGACACAAAAAAATTGCGGTTTGCAACATCAAGGTTTTGTCTTTATGTGGATCCTCAATATTTAATTGATGAAGCTCTTTAATTATACAACTTCACTAAATATATCTTTTTGACCTTATCCCGAGCTCTAATTGCATCACAAAAATGTATTCTCTAGATGCATATCCTTTTATAAATCACGTCCATGGCCGTACTTGAAGGTTTGTCTGTATTTGGATCAGGAAATACTAAAATTCAATGCAAAAACTAGTTTTAGAATTACAAATGTCTTTAATCATTCATTTCAACAAGACATCAAAATTTTTCAAATTTAATGTCTAATTAAAATTAAATACTTTGAAATTCTATATATAAAATAGCATATAGTTTGCACATTGGACTTGAGTATTTGTTGTATTTCTAATCTGTATTTGTAAATGACTATATAGATCTTTTAGATCATTAAATAATATTAACCAGTAATAATCAATTACTTTTACATCACTACTATTTAGAATTGAGAGTGAATATACCTGAGAATTATACCTAGATGACAACAAATTTGTTAAAATGACTGCTATATTCACAATTCTCAAGGCCAACTTTATAAGTTAGTGTGATTAAGAAATACATGCAATTCTTTCATATACAGTATGTTACAAAAAAAAGTGAAATACTTGATTTTTTCCATAAATATTTATTTAAATAATATAAAAATTTAAATATACATACTTGAGAGTATAATAAATAACTTTACTTAAGACTAGGGCTCCTAGGTTCGGTTCGGTTCGAATTCGAACCGAACTCAAACTACATAAATGAACTCGAACCGAACTCGAACATGCATATAGGTTCGGTTCGATGTTCATAAACATGTTCGGGTTCGAATATTACCGTAAAATACTACTGATAAGACTCGGATATTTATAATCTACCTTGAGGATACTATGCATAGTACAGAGTATACAAGCATAGATGGGTAATATATATGGTGGTATTCAAACTGGACGAGCAGTTGGAGTGTTTTTTCATGCATACAAGGAGGTGTTACTTAAGAATGATACATGTCCTTAAAGTATTTGTGTTCAAGCAAGTGATATTCATGTGGCAATTACTGATTACATGATTACAGTTATTATTTATATCTTACTGGATCCTTGCTGCTTTTCACGGTCTTCTTTAATAGCTCTTTGAACTCCCAACATCCATGACTCATCTCTCTCCTGTCATCAGATACAATTTTCAGGCAAACTGAATTTCTGCTGCCTGATGATGACAATTTAACCTATCTCTCCCGAAATTCAACTGGAATTTCGTCAGGTTGTGCAATTAACACAAAGTGACAAGTTATTTGGAGGTATAGGTGAGCCTGCAGGTCCTTCACCGCAATAAATGGCAGCTTAGATTCTGATATTACTTGCGCCATATTATTACTTAAAGGTAAATTGTTCAGATTAATAAAAAAAACTCCTACTCAAAGTCTTACGGATATTGAAGTCATAAAGAACCTTTGGATATGCAGTGAGAAATATCTTGGATGTTGTATTTCGATGAATGTTTGAATTTTCTCATGGTCTAATAACTTTTTGACTTTTGTATCTTGTGTGGATGGCAGGGATGTTTGATAATAAAATGAAGAAAATGAATTCAAAATCATGAATATACGCTTTGAAATCTAATTTATCATTAAAAAAGCTGCACAATCACATTTGATTTCTAGAAATAGTTAGATCAAAAAATTTTTGGATCAAAATACTTTACTGTAAGACATTATACAGTGGCGCTCAAAAGTATTGCATCACCCGGACGATAAATTTCACGATTTAATAGCGTTTCATATACAATATCAATCAATATATAAATAGACTCATTATAATGCCTATATATGGACGAAACATCGTATCATATTTATTTTTCATATCTTACATTTAAAAAAAGATAAACCACATTTTATATCAAATCAAGCGATCCGTTTCTTTTGATCGTTTTGATAAATAAAAGTAAAATCGAAATTGCTCACTAAACTAAATAAATTTATGAAAA